CCATCTTGAGGTCTCGGAAGGCCATCGGAAGCGAAAAGGCGAGAAAGCACAACACATCGATTTTCATAGCCCCTAGGTCGCGGGCGATTTGGGGGGCAGGAAAATATTGGGGCTGGCCTTATTCGTGGCCTCTGGGCTTCCTGGCCTTCGGGCTTCCATGCATCCCGCGGCCTGGCTACCCCAGGAGGGGTGCGGCGGAGTGCGTTCGCCCTCTCAGCCTTTGGCCGTTTAGCGGTGGCGGATTTCGGCGTGGGGCTGCCACGCTGTCTGCTCTCCTTCCTCCTTCGTTCTGCTGGCTGGTGAGGTTGGCTGATTGGATTCCGTCGCGTGGCGGCCCCTGGGCTCGCCACTGGCCGCGCGCGGCCATTGCCACAGCGAGCGCGGATGGCATCTGCGGGGGTTACGCGCATGCCCCGATGGGCTCGCTGTGCAGGTTGCGGGCCCGCAGTCGGCGCGCAGCGCCCACTGGCGGCGCCGCGAAGGTCTGTACACATGTCCCCCTATGACGTCCCCTGCTGGCCTGGGTGGTGCACTCAGGTCGCAGGGGAAGATAGGGGGGCAGGGGGGTCTTCTGCTCTTTCCCCTTAGCAGCGCTCCCCTGTTGAGTTGCCCTGCTGCTTCTCGTCGCCGGTACCGTCCCTTCGCCTTCTGCTGCAGGCTATCGCTTCTGTACGCCGCCGCCTCGTGGTTTCGTGCTGGAGGGTTTGCTGTCCAAGTGTGCGTTTGTGTCTTGTTGTCCAGTGGCCGGGGTGGCTGTGTGGTGCAATTCTGGCTGGGTTGGCCTGCCCAGTGGCCGGATTGGCCGAGTGGCGCAGTTGGGGCCGGATTGGCCCGCCCAGTGGCCGGATTGGCCCAGTGGCGCAGTTGGGTCCGAATCGGCCCGCCCAGTGGCCGGATTGGCCCAGTGGCGCAGTTGGGGCCGGTTTTGGCCTGTCAAGTGGCCGGATTGGCTCAGTGGCGCAGTTGGGGCTGGATTGGCCCGCTCAGTGGCCAGGTTGGCCCAGGGGCGCATTTGGGGCCGAATTGGCCCGCCCAGTGGCCGGATTGGCCCTGTGGCGCAGTTGGGGCCGGATTTGGCCTGTCAAGTGGCCGGATTGGCTCAGTGGCGCAGTTGCGGCTGGATTGGCCCGCTCAGTGGCCGGATTGGCCCAGAGGCGCAGTTGGGGCCGAATTGGCCCGCCTTGTGGCCGGTTTGACCCAGTTCCGCAGTTGGGGCCGTATTGGCCCGCGCAGTGGCCGGGTTGGCCCAGGGGCGCTGGCCCGCCGAGGGGCCGGATTGGCCCAGTGGTGTTGTTGGGGCTGGACTGGCCCCCCCGCCCCCTCCCTGCCGAGTTGCGCGGTTGGGGCTGCCCTTCCAGTGGCCCGATGGGCCCAGTAGCGAGCGCAGTTGCGGCCGAGTTGGCCCTCCCAGTGGCGCCGGATTGGCCCAGTCGCGCAGTTGGGCCTTGGTCCGCCTAGTGGCCGGAATCGCGCAGTGCTGTGAGGGCCGGATTGGCCCCCGCTCCCCCCCCCAAGTGGCCGGATTGGCCCAAGGCCTGTTTGTGGCTGCGTTGTTCGACCGCACAGCAGCTGAATTGGCCCGAAGGCGCAATTTTGGGCAAGATTGGCCTGCCATGCTCGCCCACGGCGCCACAATCAACCTCCGTAGGCTTGATTGGCCACGTGGCCTTCATCGGTTTGGGTTTTTGTTGTGGCGCAATTGGGGACCAATCTGCTTCGCACTGGCCCGGTTGGCCCAGTTTCGCAAATGAGGGCGGAGTGGCCGAATTGGTCAAGGTGTCCTTTCGCAGTTTTGGGCCAAGCCCAACCGCTAACCGCCTGTCTGTTTGGCCGGATTGGCCCAGAACGCCCCCATTTGGGCAATTCGCGACGTTCCCCTCGTGGCTGAGTGGCGGCTCGCGCATGGCCCATCGGCCCATCCGCGCAGTTGGCGGCCCAAGCGGCCCAATCTCGGCTTGCCCAGGGCGCAGCTGGCCCAATGCCCTTTGTGGGTGGCTCCCCTGGGGCTGTGTGGTGCCCAGTGGTTTTTCGGGGTCTGTGGCCACTCTCTAGCTTGTGCCGTTGGCTGTTTGGTGGGGTCGCGCCGAAGGCTGATTTCCGTAGCCGCCGGCTCGAGTGCACGTTCGCGCTTGTCCGTCTTTGCGATCTGGTCTTGAATTGGCATCCGGCGATGGCATTCGAGCAGAGTGAAATTACCGCCTTCGTCGCGGGACTGCCCCAGGGTGCTCTCTGCGGAGCGACCCTAAAGCAGCAGAGGAGTGGTGCAACTTCCTCCTGGAGGTCGATCCTTCGCCAAAGGCACGTCACGATCTCTTCTGGTACCTGTCGGTTGGCCGCCTCCTGGCGGAATCCATGGGTACTACGTCGCCGCTTGATTTTGCGGATCCCGCCGTGCGTGAGATGATCACCAATTTGATCAAGCATGGTGAGTAGCCCTACGACGAGGACGGTGAGCAATTTGTTTTCCGCACGTGAAAGGCGCAGCCATCCCAGGTGACATTCGCCCTGCGCGTCCAGGGGAAGTGCTCGAAGTTATTGCCGCCACTACCCACTCCTGAGAACACGTTGGCCCAAACAATGACGGAGCATCTGGAAGCTCAGGCAACGACCCACAAGGTCAAACTCTCCGGCAAAGCTTTGTCCTTCAAGCTCTCGGACAGGGTCGCAGAGTTGGGCAGGGACAACTTTCCCGAGGACGGGCTCCCTTCGGAGGAGAATTTGGCGATCTTTGAAGCCGCTGGCCAGGTCGACAGGGAAAAAGGGTGACCCTACGTGGGGAGCGCCGAGGGAGAAGACCTGCAGAAGCACTTCCGGCCAGCGTGGTCGAAGGTACCGCGCATCGACATGCCCGTTGGCGACGGCAGTGTGGCAGACCGTCACCGTCAGATGGCTGAGTTTAAGCGGTCCCGTGCGGGTGCTGAACTTGACTTCCCGGGCTACGTTTCTTTCCAGTCGCACCTGCTTGACTGGGGCACGAAGCTCATCCTCATGAAGGTGGCCACGCCTGTGGACATTTTGGGGTGCAGTCTGCTGCTCAGCAAGATGACCGAGGAGAGCGGGTCGTCCTCCTCCTCCTCCTCCCTCTCCTCCTCCTTCTCCTCCTCCTCCTCCTATTCCTCCCTTTCCTCCTCCTCCTCCTCCTCCTCCTCCTCCTCCTCCTCCTCCTCCTCCTCCTCCTCCCTTTCCTCTCCTCCTGTTCGTGGCTGGTAAGGATAAGAACACGCTCGCCACGGACAGAAATCACAGGGGTGAGTTGTTCGCTATCTTCGACCCCCCGGGGGCCCTTGACTGGGCCTCGGGGCCGTCAAGAACCGCCTGGGGATCAAAGGCGAGCCCCACGAGAGGGGTCGAGACTTATGTCGGGCGTGTCCCCATACAATGGGATTTTCGACGAAAAACAAAAAATACCCCATCAATGTCCCCAAAAGACCAACCAATACTCACAATACTCAAAAAGTAGTCTCCAGACTATTTTTGGATTATTTTTGGATTCTTTTGGGGAGTATTTTTTTCGTCGAAAATCATCTTGTAGGAGGACACGCCCGACTTAAGTCGAGACATCTGGGGCCGACGCCATGGAAAATCATGGCGTAGGGGTCTGGGAACCTGGCAATTCGATGGGCGGCAGGGGTGGGGTTCGGAGTGCGTCGAGCAGGATGGAGGAGGGGAGGAGCGCGAGGAGGGACGAGCGGGAGGAGGGAAGAACGGGAGGTGTTTCCTCCTCTTGCGAAGTAGGCCTGAAGGAACCAGCGAGCGAAAAGCGGCTCCGTGCGCAGACTTAGGCAGACGTAGGCACCGATGTTTTGAGCGCTTCACATTCGGACCGAGTCATAACATCGAGGTCGGTTCGCGGAGGGTACCCCAATGTTCTTCGTGCTTGTTGGATGCTCTGGTGCATCCTGGGGGAGGGCACCCTTGGATGTTCTGCGCGGGGATGTTCTCAGGCTCTTGAAGAATGCTCTTCCGTTCTAGGTCCAATTGTACGGAGAATCGGCCAGCTCGCGATGGGAGGGGTGGGAGGAGGGAGGAGCAGGGGGACGGCGGAGAGGGAGGCGGGAGCAGCAGCTCATCGCGAGTAAAAGAACGCCTAACTTTCATAACACAGTGAAGGTGTGGCCTCACTGAGGCCCCGTCTTTGCGTTCGGGATAATACGGTTTTGTGCGATACATCTGCAGAACAGACCCCTTATCCCTCACGTTTTTGGTCCTCCTCACTTAGGCCCCCTCCCAAAGGTGAGGGGTTCTATTTTTTGCGAATCAGCAGCAGGGGGAGGCAGAGGCGGGCGCGGCAGCACCAGTGCCGGCGGGAGGAGCCAGAGGGGCACGAGAAAGAACAGGAGGTGCAGACCGTCGCCGCTCTCGCGATTTGGTTCCCAGCTCGCACCAGCTTTTTAGTAGGCATGTTTAGCGGAGCGGCACCCGGGCCGCCGTTTGGCCCTCGAAGCGGGAGGTGCCCGCTCGCCGCAGGAGTTGGCTGATTCGGTGGCAGATCATGGGAGCCTTGTGTTGTATGTCCTCGTCACTCCTTCTTCGGAGTGTACTGGCGTGCGCTGGCGTCTGGTAGTCGATGGGAAGGCGCCAGTGGTGCGACGAGTAGCGTCGAGTCGCGTCGATCTAGCGTTGAATAGTGTTGGGTCAGAATCGGTTGGCGTCGATTCGCAAGAACCAACATGATGGCATGTCAGGCTCCCATGAGCTGCCACCGAAGGATGGGCGGGAGCAGGCTGAAGAGGGTGTTGGTTGACACTCAGTGCAGCCTAACTACGTATTGTTGCCAGTGGCAACCTCCTCTCTCTGACCGCCCCGCGCAGAGCATCTCCAATCGAAAGTCTTGGAGATTTTCGAGCACCTGCGAACACTCCATTCAGTGCCTCGCGGCGCGGTGGCTGATGTCCGATGTCCTACTCGCCTTGGCTCCTCTCGCCATTGTCCATCCCTCGCCGCTCTTCCGCCCCATGCCCTTCCAACCCCGCACCCCCTCCTGGCATCCCCGAGGACAGGCACCGGTCCCGGAAGCGCGACCGCACCTCGCCGGCGTCCCAGAGGCTGGGACGGGGTGGACAGATTTTCGGGGGCGACAAAGAGGGGGGTGATGACTAGGGGGGGGTGGATATCATGGTGGGGGCCATGAAATTTCCCCAGATTTCATGGCGCCCCTTCTTATTTCATTACGTCCCTGGCCCCCCCGCTGGGCCGCGCACATACCGCCTGTCATGATTTGCACCCCCCCCTCTTGGACACCCCCTTCTTGGCCGCTCCCGAGGGACGGGGTGGACAGATTTGGTGGGCACCCAGGACAAGATGGAGGAGGTGGACGAGAGGTGAAGAAAAGGGGGGGGAGACGAGTGACGAGAGAAACGGGGAGTGTGCCGAGAGTGCCGATAATAAGGTATGGGCGAGAGCGAAAGGAGGGCGAGGAAAAGTAGGGAGAGAAGAAGAGGGGAAGAGGAGGAGGAGGACACCACAGCTCTCCCTTGTAGATCGCACAGGAGGGGAGATTGTGGAGTACACGCCTCTTGTACATCTTGTTTCTTCTGAACAGATTTTGTTTCATCGGTTTTGCTTCCACGATCTTCCGATATATATATATATATATATATATATATATATATATATATATATATAGTTCGAGACCGCCCAAGACGGCCCGCGAGCGCTCCAAGACGTGCATAGATAGCCTCAGGAATGGCAAGGAAGGCCCGAAGACGTTCCAAGAGAGCTCCATGAGGCCCCGAAGACATCCCAGAGCCCCGACAAGCCAAAATCGTTGATTTTTATTGTTTTTTTGAAGGTTTGTGGCCTTCTCGCTTTTTCGGGTTTCCGACGCTCCAAGGCCGTCCAAGTCTCCCAAACCGCTCCAAGACGGCCGAAGAGGCCCCCAAGACCGCCCCAAGACGGCCCAAGAGACCCCAAAAATCGTCCCAAGACGGCCCAGGAGAGCCCCAAGATGGCCCAGGAGCCGCCCAAGACTGTTCCAGGAGAGCCCCGACAGGGCTTCAAGACTGCCTCCCAGCGGTCCCCAAGAGGGCCCCGCGAGGCCCCAAGAGGCCCCAAAGAGGCCCCCAAGAGCCTCCCCGGAGGCCCCCGGAGGCCCCCAAGATGCCCCCAAATGGCCCTGAGCGCGCCCCAAGACGCCTCCAGGAGAGCCCAACAGACCTCCTAGAGGCCCCCAAGAGGCCCACTGGAGGCCCTCAGGAGGTCGTCCCCATCATGTTCCTGGAAGGCGGTCCGGGAACATGATTCCCAGGAAGCTTCCAAGACGGCCCAAAAGAGCTCCCAGAACACTCCAAGAGGAGCCCCAGATGGGGAACACGAACTGACATTTCGAGCCCTCGCCCACCAGAAACTCCCAAGAGGCCCCCAGGAGTCCGCAAGAGGCCTCGAGAGGCCCCCAGGAAGCTCCAAGAGGCCTCCAAAAGGCGCCGAAAGGGCCCCGCAAGGCTTCCAGACGCTGGTGATAATGACAATGATGATTTAGCAGGGCGGCCTCAGGCCCACAACCTAAATCCCCAATACTGCTCACGCGGCATGCAAGACGCTGCGGAGATATCCTCGAGTTCGGCGGGGGAGGAGCTTCGGAGACGACAGTGACGAAAATGATGACGATGATGACGACTATTATGAAGTTGACGACGACGATGATGATGATGATGATGATGATGATGATGATGATGATGATGATGATGATGAGGAGGAGGAGGAGGAGGAGGAGGAAGAGTATTGTGATGATGAATGTTGACAGTGGGAATGATGGTAATGCTGATGATGATGTTGATGATGGTGATCGTGATGTGAGTGATGGTGATGATGATGATGATGATGATGATGATGATGATGATGATGATGATGATGATGATGATGATGATGGTGGTGATGCTGACGATCATGATGACGATGACGGTGATGCCGTTGAGGATGGTGATGCTGACGATCATTATGATGATGATGTTGATGGTCAGGATGATACCGCCGATGCTGATAATGGTGGCGATGCTGTTTATGGTGCTTGTGATGCAGGAGTGGGCGGATGATGAAGATGATGACGATGATGATGACGATAACGATGACGACGATCACGACGACGACGACGATAATGTTTCACGATGGCGATGATGAGGATGATTATGTTGATATTTCAGATGACGATATTGGCGATGATGACGACGATGGCGATGATGACGATGGTGATGACGATGTTGCTGCTGATGGTGGTGATGGTGACGATTGTGATGATGGTGATGGTCATGGTGATGTTGACGACGCCGCTGACGATGACGCCGGATATGATGGTGATGAGGATGGCGATGATGACGATGACGATTATCCTAGCTAGAACTTGAGCACGCGCGAAGCGCGCGCGATGGTTCTAGTGTGTGTATATATATATGCATATATGTAGATATGTATACACATAGATGTGTATGGACGGGGGTTGCTCGCAGCTTGGTGCGGTTCCATGCATACAGTCGGCCCGGATTAGTAGGTCGACTCTGCCAAATCAAGGGTACCTTTGTGTCCTGTGTCTCGCGACCCGTGCCTCCTGCCTTCCTATGGCGATGCGGCCCTCGGAAGGGTCTTCTGTCCTCTCGCGTGTCCTGTCCAACGGAGTAAGTCCGACTGTATCTGTCTTGCGGTATCCATCTCGAGAAGCCGTGCTGGGCCGTGCCCTGTGCGCCACCGCCAGGGACATCCACCTGCTCATGAGCGAGTGCCTGAGGCACTGGAGGACCGGCCTCCTTGGACCAAGGGCGCCCTCGAGGGCGCGAAGTTATTCGCGCTTCGCGCTTCGCGAGTCGGCTCCGTTCCTCCTCATCCTCCTCTTCTCCCCTGGGAGGCGGCGCGAGAGCGCGAAGTTATTCGCACTTCGCGCTTCGCGCAGCGCGAAGCGCGAAGTTGGGAGCCCTTGTTGGACTCGCTGTGCCGAGCCTGCGGGCGAGGGCCGAGTCCGGAGGGTGCTTGCACTTGGTGGGGGGAGACAAAGGGTGGCAGGAGGCGGGAGAAGGAAGGGGAGCTGGAGGAGGGGAAGGGAGCGGAGGAGGGAGGAGGAGGAGGAGGAGGAGGAGGAGGAGGAGGAGGAGGAGGAGGAGGAGGAGGAGGAGGGGGAGGGGGAGGAGGAGGTGATGAGATGAGAGCGGTCGCGAAGCGAGTCTCTCTCTCTCTCTCTCTCTCTCTATATATATAGTTATAGTTAAACCCTGGCCGCCACCTCAGCCTTGCTGAGGGCTTTAGGCGGCAGATCTCTCTCTCTAAACGACGGAGATACTCCTTGCCAGTGGATGTGGGTGGGAGGCAGATCCCCGCCAGCTTCTTGCTAAGAAGAGCTGAGCCAACGGACCCGCAACTGCCACAGAACCAATCTTCTTGAGATTCGTGATATCTCATGTTATGGGAACTATGGACCACACCCTCTGCGAGATTAAAAACCCGACCTCTGGGCAAGGCAGACACTTTGTCGGAAACAAACACGAGCGGAAAACACGGGGTCCCGAGCCAACTCCTCAAGTTGGCATCCGAAGACGAACCCCGACAAACCAGACATTTCTTCCCGCTGCAATTTACATTATGAGACGAACCCATGAAAGCGACGGCGCGGGGTCGATGGGGGAGGCGGCAAGGCAGGAGCTTCAGATGAGCATTTCCTCTTGCCACTGTGCACGGCTGACTCAAGGCATATCCGAAGAAGCCTGAGACGAACCAGCCGCGCATCTGCTTCCACCTGTTGCACACGAGCTCTCTGGGCCTCAGGGGCTCGAGCTTCGCGAGCGGCGAATCCTGCAAGTACGTCCACATTTGCATATCCTTCGACCATCCACGGAGGCACCTGTTGCTCGATGACCTGTCGACCGTCGGGGTGTGAGGCCACCTTAAGCACAACAATCTCGCTGCAGGCTCGAACTTTCAGATGCTTCTGAATGGCCCTCCAGATGTCTGCGTTGGGGCCTGTAGGTTGGTCGTAAGCTCGAGCCCACCAGCCTCTGCATACTTCATCGTTGTCGGTAACATATACCGTCGGCCCTTAGGACCAACGAATTGAGACCTCCAGCATGTACAGCTCCCCGCGCGCAACCGTCTGGCGGTCGCCTGGCAAGGGACCGAACAAGACGGGAAAGTCTTCGTTCGACTCAGGAGAAAATGCCGCCGCCGCCAACCCAACTCGACGAAGTCGTGGATCGTGTGTGTCAGATCTTCCCGAAGCATTTCCATATATAATCAAAGGTTGGGCCATCGAGCCCATGCCGAAAGAGAAAGTGTCAGCCTGAGTCTGTCCCATGCCTTTCCATTTCTCCTCTTGTGTCGGCTTATCAACCTCGGTCCACTTGGCTGGGATCAGCCCTCGGAACCAAACACATTCTGCTAGATTAGCCAGTGCAACCGCACGGTGGCACAGGTCGTCTGTCATGTCGAAGATGGGAGATCCAGAATTGCACGCACATTGCCAGAAACGATGTAGTGGCGCTTCACTGACTTGATCTGGGCACCTGTCGCACAAACCTGAACAACCGTATCCACTGTCTTTGCGCCTGGACTCAGTCCAAACCCCTCCCACTGCGATGGTCAATAACATCTCGGCAAGCCTGCGCCCCTGGGGAAGGGCTTCGAGCTGGATGAGCTGCTTGCGGAGGCTATTGCTGTCTAAACAGTCCTCGATGCCGCCACCGCAATATGTGTGGGAGGCGTCAGCCCAGAGCTGGCGCTGAAATGTCTGAGAAAAATCGCTAATCATTTCCGCCGCCTCCGTGGCCGACTCCAGTTGGTTGGCGTCGAATTTCCAGCCTGGAATGTGGCCGTGTTGGTCGCGTTGGTCGGCGGGCAGATACCACTCGGCTGGGCCCTGAGGGTCCCATCATGCAGCGGGTAAATGCTGCACCAAGCCCGAGATGGGCCCTCGCACGTGACGAGAGCGGTGGCGAGGCTCGATACTCTTCATTGGGCTGGCTATGCCTTGCCATACTCGGGCAACTGGTGCATGACTACGGGGTTCAGAAATCAAAACTGAAATCCATGGTTCGAGAAATTGCCGAGGAAGCTGAACTCCTGGGTCCCGTTGCGGGGTCCTGATGTCAAGGAGGGTCGCGAGGTTCCTGCCGTGCTTGTGGCCGCCAGCAATCGCCCCGAGCCTCCGTCGCAAATTTAGAATCGAAGACCTGGGGTGCCCATGGACCTGATGCCCATAGTTGGCGGCCACCTGCCCCCCCCCCCCCCCCCCCCCCCCCCCCCTCATCTCGGCCTTCTTCAGAATACGAAACCTCCGAGAAACAGCCGCATAACGCTTAATCTTCAAATGTTGGACCTTCGATGTCTTCATCCTGGAGGCGCGGGTTTGTCGAGCCAGACGTCTGCCGTTGCCTAAGTCGATGCCCGGGCAAGTGGTCTGGCTGCCCCATTGAACTTGAATTCCTCGCCAACTTAGCTTCTTAATTATCCTCTTGGCGTCGGCGACATCCGTGCAAGTGATGGCGCTCTTGGGAGCGAGCCGCAACGAGTGCCGCTCGAGCTTCTCCTGCGTGGTCGCAACGCCCTCCTCCAAGAACTGATCTACGTGACTGCGAGAGCCGACCGTCGATTGTGATAAGTCGTCAATCCACGACCGTTGATGAAGATGAGGGTGGCAGGTCGCCCGCTTCAACATGATCGCATTCGTCGTGCACTTAGCGAAACGAGTGCCGCTTCGCAGGCCTTGTACAATAGATCTGGTAGCCTGGAACGGGCATGATGCCACGTTCGCTTGGGCGAGGAGGCGTGGACCAGCGCAGACCTGCAGCTCCAAGCACAGGATGATGGCTGGGAAATTGCACTCCAGGGCTCGCTCCATTGAAATCTGCCATTCGATCTCGTCGTAAAAAACTCTTGATGTCTAACAGAGCGTATCCCTGGGAGGGACGTAACCGAAAAAATCAATTATTCATCCATGGCGCGCATGTAGGCCTCCTTGAGAGCGGAGTTGCCTGCGCACGCTGCATCCCAGCCGGTCTGGGTACTGGAATTCCATTCTTTGGTGTGCGGTTCTCTGGCTAGCGACCAGACTCTGCAACTAACGCACACTAGGCCTAGGATGCGATCTCCTGTGGACTTCTTGGGAAGAAGCCGCCCCGGCACTGCGAGAAGCTGCCAGGGCCGGGTACCGCGCTGCTCGATCGTGTCGAGTATCATGGTGAGCTCTTCGATGGCCTCCGATGGCAGACGACCCAGATCGGCAGGACACGACAGATCGAGTCCTTGCCCAACCTGGCCCTTCACGTCGCGAATGGCCTGGCTCACCTCGCCCGACGTGAGCGGCGGTAGAGCCCGCTCCCTCGCGCGAGAACGTAGCCGAGAAAACATGCTGGTCACCGCAGTCGAATCCACCTGCTTGCGAGATTGCCAAAGTGAATGCCAGTGCTCAGTCTTCTTATCGACCAGATCCCGCGGATGAAAGATACCGCCAGCCTTGTCGCCATCAATCTCGCTCTTGGCGAGAGGGGGCGGCTTGGTAGATCTGAAGAGCTGGCCAGTGTTTTCGTTATCCATGATCCACTGCTTGAAATCGCGCAGTGAGCTATTGATGGCTTTGGTGCGTGCACGTCGAACAATGACCTCCAACTCTTCACTAGCTGCTTGCAGTCCCGAGAGAGATTGCTCGCCCAAGTGCCCAAGAAAGAGTAACCTTTGCTGCCGTGTCGTAGCCGTCGGAAGCCACCCAACAGACTTGTGCGCTGCGTCTGGGTAGTGACCTGCCAGCTTGAGCGCCGACGCCGAGAGGGCTACCACCTGCTTAGCACCAGTCTTCTTAGATGTATGATGCAGCATCTGGCGTGTCAGTGTATGAGCTCTAGCCCACCAGTCAGCTGCAACGTCGTAAAATGGCATGTCTCTAAAATTTGAACTATCTTGGACTCGATGTACCTCCAGCCGCGGACCGTCTGCGCGCGTGGGCTTTGAACAATCCTGCTCAAGCCCGTGATGCCACCAGATGCTCGTCTCAACGGCGTCGATCCACCCTGCGAACAACCCACTAACTAGCAAGATGTGGCCTCCAGCTGCGCGAAACGCCAGAGACTCACGAATCGGGGTCCAAACGTGATGATGCTCGTGAGTGCGAAGGCCTGAACTGGCTCGAGCCAGAAGCCACGTGGAGGTAGGAATGGAGTAAGAAACGGGGGCAGCAGCACTGGCATTGGAGACGGCAGGGTCATGCGGGACCCTATCTTCCTCGCCAGGCTGCTCGTCAGAATTCTTGGGGGTCGGTGTCTCGCTCGGGGAGGTCCTTAAATCGTTCCCTGCATTAGACGAACGGAGCCCGTCGGCTACAGTGGAATCCGCGGCAGGAGCACTCCGTTGAGAGACGGGCAGACCTTCTTCCCCCTCGCTAACTCTGATTGGCACCGCCGGTTGAACGTTGGGCTCGTCAGCGCACGGATCAAGTTCGCCCTCATCCCAAGGATCGCCAGAGCAGACAACATCGGGGCAAGATGTGTGGCCCTCGGGCGGGGTGGCGCTAGGCTCCTGCTCGCTTTGGTTGGCAGGCGGCCCCGTGGTGCCGACCAACTCCCGATCCCAGAGGTCCCCAAACAGTTTGACAGATAAATCAACCTGGTTTTGAAACGAAGCGGCCCTCTTAGTAGCCATCTCCTGTTTGGCTCGGGAGGACTTGCTGCCCGCCTGAGGGGCCGCCTTGGGACGATCGACCCTAGGGGGCCTCTCGGCAAGGTGCAGCGAGCGAGTGATAAGCTGGGCCCCCGAGCCTCGGAGCT